GCCGAGCCGGGCCGCCGGACTCCGGCACGGGCCGCTGCCGCTATGCAGCTCCGCCCCTCGTTCGCGTCTGCGCAGAGCGCTGGGCGCCGCGGGAGGCCCCGCCCTCCGTGCCGTGACGTCACTCACAACGCGTGGTTTTGGTTCCCGGATGCTGCTTGCTAAACGGAAGGTCCCGCGGGTTCTCTGAGTTGTCTTTACATTTAGGTGGAGAATCCACTTTGAGTTAATTTTGTGGAAGTTGTAAACTCTAATTTTTTGCTTATGGATGCCCAGGATGTCGGATAGTATCTGAGAAGAGCACGCTCTCATTGAGTTTCATGTGCTCTTTTTAAATAATTGACTGTATTGTGTTTTTTTCTGAGTTATTTTGTACTCTTTTGCACATAGGTTTGTTTCCAGATATTCTTACACTATCATGATTATTAAAATTTTTAAAGATAAAGCCAGTGTTATTTTGTGTACTGTTTCTTTAGGATTTTGTTGAACATTGAGTTTACCCTTTTACAAATAACCTTTAGAATAGCTTTCATACAAGATGTTCTGCAGTTACACAAGATGTTGAGATTGTGTTGAATTTAAATTGAGGAAATCGACATTTTTAATGTTTTTTCGAGACAGGGTTTCTCTGTGTCTTTGGAGGCTGTCCTGGAACTAGCTCTTGCAGACCAGACTGGTCTCGAATTTACAGAAATCCTCCTGCCTCTGCCTCCTGAGTGATGGGATTAAAGGGGTGTGCCACCCACACCCAGCTTAAAAAATCTTTTATGCCACAATCGTGCAGTTCCGCCAGAGGCTACAAGAGGGCATTAGGTTGCCCTGTGACTATTATTACTGATGATTGTTAGCCATTATTTGGATACCGCTAATTGAACCCTCGTCGTCTGGAAGAGCAGTAAGTGCTCTTAACCCATGAGCCAACTCTCCAGCTCTTGGAAATGACACCTTGATGTTTTCTGTTTACCAGGACCATTGCATATCTTATGATTTTTTGACTTGAATTTTTTTTCCTCCCAAGACAGTGTTTTTTCTATAGCTTTGAAGCCTGTCCTGGAACTTGCTCTGTAGACCAAGCCGGTCTCGAACTTACAGAGATTCCACCTGCCTCTGCCTCCTGAGTGCTGGGGTTAAAGACTTGTGCCACCATGCCTGGCTTGACTAGTTTATGAAAAAGAAATTTATCTTCATCCATAGATCTTTGTTAAATTTATTGCACTGGGTGGTGGTGATGTCAGCACTCCTTTATCCCAGCACTCGGGAGGCGGAGGCAGGTGGATCTCTGTGAGTTCGAGGCCACCCTGGTCTACACAGTGAGTTCCAGGACAGCCAGTACTGTTTTTTCTTTTTTAAATTTAAAGATTTTATTTATTTATTTTATGTATACAGTCTTCTGCCTGCATGTCAGCAGAGGGCACCAGATCTCATTTAAGGTGGTTATGAGCCACCATGTTGTTGTCGGGAATTGAACTCAGGACCTCTGGAAGAACAGTCAATAAGCCATCTCTCCAGCCCCCCAGCCAGGACTCTTATACAGAGAAACTCTGTCTTGAAAAACAAACAAACAAAAAACCCAACCAAACAAAAATTATAAGTTTTGCTTTGTCTCTTTTGATCTGTGGTGTCATATATGCAGTGTGAAATTGTTAATCATTTGATTGTTCATAGCTGTTATACGAAAATGATGGATTTCATGTATTGATCTTGTATTCCAAAAGTTTGCTGTTTGCTGTAGTATCTTATTAGTTCCTTGAGTTTTTATTGGTCTAGGAATTTTCAGTTTGGAAAGATTTGTATTTTAAAAAACTTCTTTTTTTTTTTTTTGAGACAGGGTTTCTCTGTGGCTTTGGAGGCTGTCCTGGAACTCACTCTGCAGACCAGGCTGGTCTCGAAGTCACAGAGATCCTCCTGCCTCTGCCTCCCCAGTGGAATTTTCAAAAACTACTTTTGAGATTATAAATACAATTCCAACATCTCTTCCCTTTGCTCCCTCCAAACTTTCTCCAATATACCCTCCCTGCTGTCCTTCAAATTCATGGCCCCTTATTTCATTAATTGTTATTGCATGCATATAACATATATATTCCTAAATATAACCTGTTTAGTCCATGTAATGCTACTTATGTGTATGTTTTCAGGGCTGAACTTTTGGCACTGGACAACCAATTGGTGTGCTCTTCCCCAAGGAAGAGCACCTCTTCCACTCCCAGCTTTCCTCAGTTTCCTATAGTTGTCTGAGTAAGGCTGAAGCTTTATGGGCTTTCAATCCCCTTTGGCATGCCCATTGGTGTATCTTTGTTCAGCTCATGTTTGGGTAGTCATGTTGGTGAGACTTTATGAGTTCAGCTTCTAATATTACTAGGAGACACAATCTTACAGCACACTTCCTCTGGCTGTTACAGTCTTTCTACCCAAGACTTTTACTTTTTCATTCATTCATTCATTCATTCATTCATTCATTCTTTTGTTTTTCGGGACAGGGTTTCTCTGTGTCATCCTGGCTGTCCTGGATTTCACTCAGTAGTCCAGGTTGGCCACAAACTCAGAAATCTACGTGCCTCTGCCTCCTGAGTGCTGGGACTATGGGCGTGTGCCACCACCCAGTCTCCTTTACCTGTTTAGCTGTTGTGGCAGCACCTGTGAAGTAGTGCCCACTAGAGAGGCCCATTATACTCAATAACCACTACTTTCTTTCTGAAGGCTAATAGGAGCTTAGGAAGTGTTACAGTATTTACATAAATCATTTATGTTGGATGGTTGATCCTTTAATATTCATGTGAACGATATCAAAATACTAAGTTCCCTCATGCCATCACAATTTAAACATTGCTACCAGGAATTTCTAAGGACAAGCAGACGCTTGCATGCTAGTGTTAACACCGTTCTATCAGGGAGGAGGGCTCTGAGACAGGAAGTAGAAATGCACTGTAGGAAGAGGATTGGGGCAGAGCAGCAGCACATCCTGTTCCCTGGGCCCAGTAATGAGAGGAGAGCTGCTATAGGGCTGCTTCCTTCCCCGTCCTCAGTGTCTGCATGACAGCTGCTGTGTCGTGGGAGAGATGTGTAGACCCCACAGTGTGGAGTGAGCCTATTGCCAATCAAGTGTGTGCAATGTTTAGGCCTCAGTGAGCTTTGAGGACGTGGCTGTGCACTTCACCCAGGAAGAGTGGGCTTTGCTGGATCCTTCCCAGAAGAGTCTGTACAGAGACGTGATGCTGGAAACCTGCAGGAACCTCGCTGCCATAGGTGAGGACATCGTCTTCCCATCACTCTGTAGATTATGTAGCAAGACTCTCTTGGCATCGATGCTCTGCTGGGGTTTGGACTATTGAAGGGGAAGAATGTGGTAAAAATCTCAGGCAGTGTTACTATGGACATCGAAGTTAGAAACTAATTTTTTCCAGTGATTTCTAATAATTTATCCTAAATCTTCTGGGATTACCTTTTAGGAAACAAATGGGAAAAGGAGAATGTTGCAGACTGCTATAGAATTCCTGGAAGAAATCTAAGGTAAATTGTATCAAAAGTTGAAGCAAATGTACTTGAAGGAATTTTAATGTCCCATGAAAATTTAAGAAAACAAAAACAGCTTTAAGTTGTGTCATTAGAAAAAGTACAGGTAAATTATGGCACCTAAATATGTGTTGAATGTTAGAGTGCCCGTTAGTGTTTCTAGAGTGTTCTCTCATGGAAACACAAAAGACTAGAACTTGTATCAGTGAATGCTTCTGTTCTTGTATAGCTCGGTGGGAGCCACATTATGGAACCAGCAATCCCTTTAGTTTCACACAGTTCCCATGTGTCAGGTGTCAGAAAGCATGCACTTTCCCTGATTTTGGGAGCAGTGTATAACAGGGAACTAGTTAGCAGTTGGTAGTAAAGCAGCAATTGGTAACATACTTGTCCTTTTTCAGAACGTCGGTGTTAGAGACACCCCATGAGAGTACTGAAGATGGTCAGGATGAAGAAACCATGATGTGGATAGCAAATCTCCACAGCAGCGTGGCAGTTTTTCCTGGACTAACATCATGTGAACCCAAAGTGTGCGGAGAGGCTTCCACATGTCCTTCACTCTCTAGTAGACATACCACATCTTACCCGCCTTATAAACTACATGAGCATGAGGAGTGTGGAGCCAAGCAGTATGACTTGAGCTCTCTCACCAGCTTTCAGAGGTGTATGGGAGCTCACACTGGGAATGGGCCTTGTGAATGTGAGGTATGTTTAAAAGCTTCCTGTTTTCCAAATTCGTTAGGTATAAATCAAGAGACTCATGTTGGAAAAACACCCCATCAATACAAGGAATGTGGAAAGGCTTCTTATACATACAGAGAAACCCATACTATGGGAAAGCTTTATGAATGTAATATATGTGGTAAAACCTTGAGTTCTTCTACTAAACTTCAAAGACATGAAATAATTCACACTGAAAGACTCTATGAATGCACATATTGTGGTAAAGCGTTTAGAAATTCCAAGTATCTTCGATTACATGAAAGAATCCATACTGGAGAGAAACCCTATGAATGTAAACAGTGTGGGAAAGCCTTTAGATTTCCTGGTTCCTTGCCACTACATGAAAGAATTCATACTGGAGAGAAACCCTATGAGTGTAAACAATGTGGAAAAGCCTTTAGATTTCCTGGTTCCTTGACATTACATGAAAAAATTCATACTGGGGAAAAGCCTTATGAATGTAAACAATGTGGTAAAGCTTTTGGGCGTCACTATCATCTTCAGTTACATGAAAACATTCATACTGGAGAAAAACCCTATGGATGTAAACAGTGTGGGAAAGCCTTCAGACGACACAGTCATCTTCAGAGACATGAACGAATTCACGCTGGAGAGAAACCCTATGAGTGTAAATAACATACTAAAGCTTTTATATTTCACAGTTATCTTTTGTCACATGAAAGGATTCATACTGGAGAAAAATGCTGTCGGTATAAATAATGTTGGGAAACCTTTAGGTTTCATATGCGTCCTTGCAATTACATGAAATCAATCATATTAGATGCAAACTCTATGAAGTAAACACTGTGATGAAGCCCTTAGATAGTCACCTTCAGTTTTATAAAGAAACTGTATACTGGAGAAAGCTGTGTGACTGAACATTGTGCTGAGGCTTTTAGATGTTACACTTGGCAGTTTTACAAAAAAGAATTTGCCAGATGGTGGTGGGGCATGCCTTTAATCCCAGCCCCAGGAGGCAGACGCAGGTGGATCTCTGAGTTGGAGGCCAGCCTGATCTACAAGAGCTAGTTCCAGGAACTCCTCCAAAACCACAGAGAAATCCTGTCTCAAAAAACCAAGCAAGCAAGCAAGCAAACAAACAAACAAAACCCCAAAACAAATAAGAACTCATTCTGGAAGGAAGTCCTCTGAATGTAAATACTATGGCCAAAAAGTTACATATCACAGTGTTCTTTAGACATGGGTTCTTCAGATATAACCCATGTTCGAGAAAAACCCTACAAATGTAAAATATATCCATATATAAATCCTTTGTATAAACCAGATCTCTTCAGTTCTTCACACTCAATAAAGGCATTGTCTGTCACAGTTTCAGAGACTGTTGTGTGAGGTACTGTGAAAAAATATTTACTTATCTCAGATGGAAAGCAAAAAACTTATTCTTCCAGAGCCCAACTTGATGAGCCAATGATTTTATTAGGGTTGCTTATAGGATCATGGACAACTTTCATGCAGATATATCACCAAACCACCCAAGCCAGTTTGCGTATTGACTACAGTCCTATAAACCTGCACAACTTGAAGGCAACTTGTCTGCTCAGAGAGTCTCTTATCTCTGTATATTTTAAGCTTTAGCTTTCTGGGGCTTACAGGTTAATTTGTTTACTTCCTGAATCTGGTGCTTCCTCTTCTCCCCTGGGAGAATGTTTCAATCCAGAGGATATGACTGGACAGCAAGCCATCCCTTCCTGTGACTCTGAACTTTTTTTTTTTTAATACTTTTTTAGCTTTAGAGGGGGGTGATATCGATGTCAGAAACTTCACTGGTGGTTATGAATCTCTGGAGTACAGCATCATTGTAAAAGGAAGTTTGCTCCCAGGATGAACTGCAGATAACAATAACAGTGGTCCGTGTGTGTGTGTGTGTGTGTGTGTGTGTGTGTGTGTGCGTGCGTGCGTGCGTGCGTGCGTGCGTGTGTGTGTGTGTGTTGGTGTGTTGTGTGTAATCAAGGATGCTTATAAGGCAGTTTGTCAGACATGTTACTTCCATCCATTGAAACAGTAACAGTTAAGCCAGGCAGTAGTAGCGCACGCCTTTAATCCCAGCACTTGGGAGGCAGAGGCAGGTCTGTGAGTTTGGGGCCAGCCTGGTTTACAGAATGAGTTCCAGGACAGCTAGGGCTACACAGAGAAACTGTGTCTTGACAAACAAAACAAACAAACAAAAAGCATAGAAGTTATTTTGCAGTTGGGGCCTACAATGTCTCCAGCCATAGGATTTTGTCTTGGGTTATGGTACCAGACATGAATTTCCTCCTGTAGAGCTGCATTAAGTCCGGTGGGAAAACTTATTGTACGCATGGTAGCCATGCCATTATTGCACCAGCAATCACAGCTTATGTATGCCCTCTATCTGCCAGGGCCCCAATTGGGTACAGGCTTCACATGTAAGTGGCCTCACTTTCTGCTTTGTGGCCTGGATATAAAGAGTCTGTCTGAAGAAAAAGCAATGTTCCTGCTTGTACGTGTCTGCTCATAGCTGCTGAGTGTGCCTGTTGTGGCAGCTGCTGTTGTTACTCCTCTAATCCTCTAGTGACATCAGACTGCAGCTCCTTCAGCCTGTCAGTTTACTGAACAGCAGCAATTGTAAGGATTTTCTAGGCCCTCACCGCCAGAACGGAACTAATGGGCATCACCAGGCTTCATGGACTGAGCAGCTGTTGGGCTCTCAGGGTCTCCACCATTTCCATGGCCTTTGCTGGGCTCCGCAGCCCCGCCATGTTAGTTCACTCACTGAGCTCTCTTTCTTCACATGCACACAGCCCATCCTGTCTCTGGCATAGTTTGTAGTATAAGAAAGGCTGAGACAAAACCCAGTTAATGGCTGGCTAAGTAGTTTTGGGGTTACATTTCTCTGTATCATGCACAGACATCTGGGTTTAACTCCATGGACCACATGTACTGGGCAGGAGATATAAATGCCTTACAAGAAAAGCACTTTTCTAAGTGCCTCTTATGGGGGACTTAAATCTCATGCAAATAGGTTAATTGTGAAAATACAAGTGTCTTCAGGCCAGTTAGCATGTCTTCCTGTTTCACAGGGATGATGTTTCTTCATTGGGCATTACAGTCCTGCTAATAATGACATTTTCTCAGCACTCAGGAGGCAGAGGCAGGCTGATATCTCTGTGAGTTCAAGACCAGCCTGGGCTACAAGAGCTAGTTCCAGGATAGCCTCCAAAGCCACAGAGAAACCCTGCCTGGACCCCCCCCCCCCAATGACATTTTCTACATTTCAAGAAGAGAAAGAAAAGATAGATTTAATCTCAGTGTGCCAATGATGACAAAGGCAAAAACAGAATATCTGGAAGGCCACAGGGTAGACTGATAACAGTGGAGAAAACAAAGGGTCCTGGCTGATTATATTGTGTGCCTGTGTGTGTCTGCTTGATTGTGCACCACACCGTGCAGTTGCCCATTGTGAGAGCTACTCTTGGTTGTCAGCTTCCTACACCTGGGATTAACTAAACCCCCAAAGGGCTCTGCACACCTGTGAGGGATTTTTTTCCTTACCTGGATATTTTCAGTGGGAAGATTCACTCACTTCCAATCCAGATCTTGAGGTGGAAAGACATACCTTTAATCCAGATCTTTTGAGCTGAGAAAATCTATCTTGAATCTGGTCCATGCCTTCTGCTGAAAACCTATACAAGGGCATGGAAGAAGGAAACTTTTCCTCTTTTCCTGCTCATTTCCACTTCCTAGAAAGCCCATTCCTTCACTGGTAGTAGAGCCTTATTGCTTTGGGGAATTCACCAGAGATGACTGTTCAGACATGGGTTTAAGACAACAGGAAGGCTGGAAACCACTGAGCCATTTCTCCAGCTCCCTACTTTTGAACTTTTAATATCATTTGTGTCTGCTGCTTCTTTATTTTGGCTTGATCACCTGCCTCGTCTCAAGAGTATGGTATTGACACTGCTATTGGATAGCAGTCAGTTTGTGCCTGTACGGCCCATTAGCCTTTGTTTTGTGAAACTAAACGGCTGGTGTTTGGTGCACATGTGTAGCATCTTAATCATCTCCTGAGATACTGTTCTCTTTGATCTCCACAATATGGCTGTCTTTATCTCTTCTGAAGCCTTTCACCAGACATCAGTTCCTGCTTTCTCATGTGTCTCAAGTACCCTTTAAGCCCTTCCTCTCTCTGCTGATGATTTTCTCCATCAGTTATGCACATTGTTTCTGAGGCATTTTTGTTTTTTTGTTTTGGTTTCTGAGACAGGATCTCACCATGTAGTCCTGACTGTCTGGAAATCATCACTATGTAGACCATAGAACTCAAATATGTCTGCCCTTGCCACCTGAATGGTGGCAGTAAAGGTGTGTGACACTAAGCTTCTTAACATTTGCTTGTTTTTTATTTTATTTTATTTTTTTCCTGTTGTTGCCTGCTAGCTTACTTTCCACCAGCTGGTTTCTCTCTTATGTGATTCTTACAGAATGAGAAATTTGCAGTCTACCACACATAAGATTTATTGCTCCAGGACAGATAAGGCTACATAGTGAGACCCTGTCTAAAAAAGAGCAAAGCAAAACCCAAAACCTGCCCTTAAAAAGCACACACATGCACAAAGCACGGGCAGGTGTGGTGTGCAGAGAGGGAGCACTGTGCTCCCTGGTGAATCGTTATATTTCATGGGAATGTTCTGCCTGCATGTATGTATGTATGTATGTATGTATGTATGTATGTATGTATGTATGTATGTTCACCATGTGCATGCCTGGTCCAGGGAGGTCAAAGAGGATTTCAGATCCCCTAGGGCTAGAGTTACAGACTGTGAACCACTATGTGGGTGCTGGGAATCGAAACCAGATGCTATGGAAGAGCAGTCACTGCTCTTAACAACTGAACTATTTCTCCAGCCACCTCCCCCATGTACATTTTACTCATACATATAAGGTCGTGGAGCAAAGCTTAATTCCATTTCTCCTTCTCAGAGTCGACTAGGCAGCACACGTTTAGCTGATCCGGTCATTTTAAATGGCAGCAAAAGGTGACTGACACATGAATGAAACCTTTGAAAGTCCCATGGAGAAGAAAGGCCTCAGAACCTTCCTGGCCTTGTTAATTAGTTTTCTACAGTGTAGCGGGCAGGAGGAGGGAGTTAGATCACCCACGTCCACCAACTCGGCTTTTTGGGATGGGGTTGCGGTGTGTGTGTGTGTGTGTGTGTGTGTGTGTGTGTGGTTAACGTCTGCTGCTAGGCATTAGCCCAGTGGGTGCCAGAGATGAAAAAAGTCTCAGCAAGGAGGGGGTTTCTCTTGGGCAAGAGTCTGGAGTAAGTCCTCCAAAGTGGAGGTACTTCGATTTGGTTCAGGACCGCTCTCCTCAGCTAAGTACCTATTTAAGAATGAACTAATATCTCCTGTCTTCCTTACTATTCTATTGTGGTTTAGTCATTCCGGTGGCCCCATGGATGTGTGTATCTTCAATGTGTAAGGCTCCTTCAAACACCGTCTGTTGTTCTGGCAAAGTGGTCTGGAATTCGTTCAGTTTGTGTTTGTTGTCGAGAAATTTTTCCCTTTTACTCATGAAGTATATGCGTAATTCCTGTTCCCTTTGCTTCCACCCCCTGGTGTTGGGATTGCAGGAAAAGCAACACTACATCGGGCTTGGAATGTGTGTGTGTGTGTGTGTGTGTGTGTGTGTGTGTGCGCGCGCGCGCGTTCTGGTTAAAAAGAGAATGTGCAACTTGTTAAAGTTCGAGCAATCTTTGGCACGCCTTTCTGAAGTTCCTGATCCCCGGAGGACGTCAAGTCCTGTTCCAGTTTGATCTGGGAGAGCTGGGCGCTAGTCTAGCTGTGAGGCAAAGGGATCGCTGCCTTGGTCATTGTGTGTAACGGGCTGTTCACACCAACAAATCTATGTCCCTATTGCGAGAAGACAGCAGTGACAGTTCTGGGAGGCAAAAACAAGGTCTGTTTCCAAGCTGATCTCCCTGAAGCAGATTTGCGTGACCCTTGAGCCAGGAAAGGCTGTGTGGTCCACGTCTTTTAATTTCAGCTCACCCACCTAAGAGAGCTGACACTGTCATCCAGGTCTCAGCCGCCAATCAGGCCCTGGGGCAGGGCCATTCATTCACAAGTACCAAAGGAAGACGCGCCTGTCACTCAGGCCCTCGTGGGCAGTGCTGGCCAATCGGCCTCTGGGCCTGACCACTCAGTCGGCAGCGCCTGAAGAACTGCTTCGTCATGCAGGCCACGCTGGCCAATTAGGGCAATGGAGACCAGTGGTCCCTGCAGCAGTGTCTAGGGAGCTCTTGTCAATCAAGCTTGTGGGGAGGCTCTAGCCAATCAGGACTTCGGAACAGGATGTCCAATCAAGAGCGTCAGCCGGAGGCGGGAGGCGGGCTCTTTCCCGCCGCCATGCTGCGTGCTCTGCTCCGCGTCTTAAGCGGGCTTTGCATGGTCTCGT